AAAAAAAAAAAATTAAGGTGAAGGGACAGGGAAGGGAAAAGAGGATGAAAGAATGGAATATAATGAAACAGACATGTTCAGAATGCAAGAAACACAATTTGGCTTTCTTCCTGAAGACTAAAGTAGAAAACCCCATTAAGTTCTTTTCCATAATTTACTATGAGCTCCAAAATGCAAAGAATTTGGTCCTGGGTGGGGTAAGCCTCCCACCCCAGGCCACCTCCTTACATTCCTTTTTTTCATTAGAGTGGATCTGCAAGACAAAAGCCCCAGCTTCCCAGGCAACGCCTTTGCTGTGGGGCATGTGGGGCAAGAAAGGAGTTGGTGTAATTCACCAATTTACCAGATCCCTGGGTAAAGAGTGCACTAGCAAACTAGCAAGCTAAGTACACAGAGAGAGAGAGAGAGAGAGAGAGAGAGAGAGAGAGAGAGAGAGAGAGAGAGAGAGAGAGAGAGGGAGGGAAGGGTGGTAACTATTCAAGTATCATATGCTCCAAGAGAATAACTAATGTAACAACCTCGCAGCTAAACTCCTGTCTGCATTCTCAGGTCTGCAGAGACCCACTGTGACAGTCTCACAGGCGTGAGGTTCAGCTCCCCTGCTCTCTGTGCGTTTCTGTCCGTCTCTATCCCTCCCTGTCTGCCCCTGTCCCTGGCAAGCGCCTCTCTGCTCTTGCAGTTTGGTTCAAATATGGACTAAATACTTACCCATCTCACCCTCCTGCAGGCGGTGTGTTGTACCGAGCATGCCCACAAAAGCTTCTGCTGGCTGGTCAGCACCCATCTCTGAGCCCAGGAGCTGTGGTTCAGCTTACAGGAAGATAGAAACCTAAGGGCTGAGGCACCTCGTTGAAAGCAGTAGGGCGATTAGGAGTCACAGTTTTCCTTTGCCTACAATCAGCTTGCTCCTCCCTTTCCCCTCCTCTACTAGCACACGCACTAGCCAGTTATGAGTGAACACGGATTCACCACCACTTTCTGTCTCCGATAACACGCTCCAATTTGGAAGTGTTTTTGTCAGTGGTGTGGGGACAGAAAGATAGCTCCCACTGTCACCCTCATCAGTCCAAGAAATGCCTCTAGAGCCTTTCTGATGCGGGGTCCTTCAATACAGTTCCTCCTGCTGTGGTGACCCCAACCAGAAAATTATTTCATTGCCACTTCACAGCTACAAGCCTGCTACTGTTAGGAATCAGAATGTAAATATTGATATGCAGGCTATGTGATCCCCAGGATATGGTCATTCGACCCCTGCAAAAGGGTCACAACCCAAAGGTACCCGAGAATCACTGCTCTAGATTTTTCAGGCACCTTTGACTCAGGCCAAACCAAGGTTCATAGCTTTGATGCCAAAAACTTTCTCAGGGCTAGACAGTTAATGAAGCAGACTTGGAGTTTTTCTAAGATTCATCTGTATTATATTTAATTACATTTATATTTATATAAATATATAAATACATATTATATTTAATTATATTTAATTAATTGGGTTTAGAATGCAGGTGCCCCAGAAATGTAGCAAGGGGATATTATCACCCTCAAGAAAAACAGGTGTAGCATTGTTGTTATCACTTAGGAACATATGCCAAGGGAAACTGTAAACATCTTAGAAAGTTCTATTTGGGTGATGGGAATGGTGGTACAGGACTCTGATCCCCAGAACCAGAGAGGCTATGACTCTCTATGAGTCCGAGGTTAGCCTTGTCTACATAGGGACAGCCAAGCCAGCCAAGGCTAAGTAAAAGTAACAATAGTAAAACATTAAATATAAATTATTATGTCATAAAAACATGAGTTAATAGAAATGTAGTCAAAGGGGTTTTGAATTCAGTTATTTGGGGTACTCAACTGTCTGTAGTTGGAGATGAGTGCCACCCAAATTTTCTGATGTCCAAGTATATTGCAGGATATTTGTTTATACTATGTGAAAATATGTCTATGTTTTGCCTAACCTACCTAAGGCACCAGACTGGTTAATAAAAGGCTGAATGGCCAATATCCAGGCAGGAGAGAATAGGCAGGACTTCTGGGGAGAGAGAGGAACGCTGGGAGTAAGGAAGGGAGAGACATCAGTGAGACATGGAGGGAGCTGGACATACAGAATGGAGAAGAGGTAAAAAGCCATGTGGTGGAATAAAGATTAATAAACGAGCTAATTTACAGTGTAAGAGCTACTTGAGAACAAGTAAGCTAAAGAGCAAATTTTCATAATCAATAATGTCTCCGTGTTATTACTGGGGAGCTGGTGGCCTCAAAAGAAAGTCTTACACAAAAGTTCTGTTACACAAGTAGTTCCATCCTCAGACATCAACACAAGTTTGAGGTACAAGGCAAGACTGTAAGAGTCTATCTCCTGAGGGTTCAGAGCACAGCAGGTATTAAAAGAAACCCAACACCATCTTTTCCATCCAGGATGTAGGCAATCTTTGATCAGTGTCTTTTTTAACTAATGAAGTCGCCTGGTTTTGGACCTCATTCATTCATTCATTCATGCATTCATTCATTCATTCGTCTTCAGGAACTCAAGATGGGAGGGAAGACTCTGTTGTGAACCTAGCCTTTCACGGCCAAGCCATTTCTCCAGCTTCTAGTTATAACGGAGTTGCAAGGTAGGTGTCATGATGATGAGCAAATAGATGATGGAGGAATGGTTGAGAAACAGAAACAGAACGGCTTGTGTGCTGTGGAAAGAGGCAGATCTGCAGAAACAAAGACAGTAGAGAATAGGCTGATGTGGGTGGCCTGCTTGCTGCCCTGGACCAGGTTGACCTCTGGGCCCATATTTCCACAAAAGACCATCCTGCTGCCAGGACCATGCTGATCTGAGTGGCATGTGCTACCACCTGGGGCCATGCCCTGGGTACGGTGTAGGACTGTGTCTGGGTTTTTGGTCCTACCACAGCCAGGATCTGTATTGATGTTCACAGCTTCTGTCAACACTGAAAGCCATGCAAATACATGGAGTCTGGGCCATCACTTGAGGCCAGGTAGGGGTCTGAGAGTCTTGCTTGGAGCCACATAGATCTGACACCCAGGGCCTGGGTGACATCTGATCCCTGGCTGCAGCTGAGAACCATGTCTAGGTCCATGGTCCTACTGCAGTTATGGCTTGTGTTGATGTCCATGGCTCCTGATACCACTGAAGGCCACACAGATGCCAGGGTTCTAGGCTGTTACCTGGGATAATATTGGCATCTGAGAACCACGCTGCCACAGGATCCATGCTGACTTGAGTGGCTTATGCTGCCACTCGGGGCAGTGGTGACATCTGAGACTGGGCTGCTGTCAAGGACTCAGTGGGTCTGTGGTCCTACCACAGCTGGGATCTGTGTTGATGTCTGTGGCCCAAGTTGCCAGCAAAGCCCACACAGATGCCCAGAGTCTAGGCTGCAATCTGTGGCCATGCTAGTGTCTGAGGACTGTGCCACCATCGAAGTCATGCCTATCCTCAGGGTCATGGTGTCATACAGGCCAAGGCTCCTGCCAAGGGCCATGTCTGGGTCTGTGGTCCTGCTACAGCTGGGGCCTGAGATGGTATTCACTGTGGGCCCATTCAAACCATGTGTTGAACCGTGTATTAAAATATGAGCCCCTCACTGGCCTGGAGAGAGCTGCCCCCTCTCACCAGAGAGCTGACCCCACCACTCATGGGCCCTGGGATAATGGACCCCAATGATCCTGCCATGGGAAAGCTGGTCATGTCCCTAATAGTAGAACTGCTCCCCCTCTTGGGAAAGCTGGTCCCACTCTCTCACTATAGGTGTGGGAGAACTGGCTCCACTCCTCACCAGAGAGGATGGTCCCAGTGGCCCAATCAGAACAATCCAGCTACCACTCAGACACACATCCAGGTTTTGAGTGGGCACTCCCCAACTTCTCCCCCATCTGTGATGTGCTAGAATGTGTGAAGGGCCGGGTTCTGTGGAACCATAGCCACAGGATCTCCATAACTTTGGGTAACTGCAGAATCTCCGAGGGGAGTTTCTGTGAGGGTCCAGTATTGATGGTGACCCAGACACCCAAGACCTTGAACCTGACCAACACATTAACAATGAACATTTTCATGTAAGCCAATGTGGACGAAAGGGTTTACCACATGACACACAGCGGCTCCCAATGCCAGCAAGGTGAGTGAAGAGGTGATGGAGAGGCAGAAAAGATAGAGGAGCAAAGGGGTTTTTTTTGGTTTGTTTATTTGTTTGCTTTTTTGGTTTGTTTTGCGTTTTTGCTTATTTGTTCGTTTTGAAATTAATATTGTATTTGCAGTTTTTAATTTACTTTTTATTTTTATCATCTCTTTTCTAGTTTTCCTTTGTGGGGGAAACTGCAAGGGTGAAGGGCAGACATGGAGGGACTGGAAAGAGTGGGATTGGGGTTCATGATATGAAATTCCCAAAGAATCAATAAAATTATGTTAATTAAAAAGAGATAATGGCCAATAATGGGACAGGAAGGGTTAAGGTAGAAGACTGGAGGGCAGGACAGAGGAAGGAATAAAGGTAGGGATAACTGACAATAAATATTGGGAGATATTTGATTACACTGTGTAAAGATATGCCACTGTGATTGGTTTAATAAAAGACTAAACAGCCAATAGAAGAAGGTATAGGCAGGACTTCTGGACAGAGAGAGCTCTGGGAAGAAGAAAGGTGGAGTCACCAGCCAGATGTGGAGGAAGCAGAATGGGCAAGATGAAGATGAGGTAATGAGAACATGGAAGAGCATAGATTAAAAAAATATGTTAAGTTTTAAGAGCTAGTTAGAAACAATCCTAAGGTAGGGCTGAGCTTTCATAATTAGTAATAAGTCTCTGTGTTGTTTTCTGTGAGCTGGCAGCCCAAAAGAAAAATCCACCTACATGTGACACCCAATGTGGGCTTGAACCCATAACCCTGAGATTAAGAGTCTCATGCTCTACTGACTGAGCTAGTTTTCCTTGTTACCAAATTCAGAAAAGAAACTTACAAAAGAGATGTAAAGTTCATTAGGTTGGAAAACATAAAAGCTTAAGTTGTTTATCTGAAAATACGTTTTAAGGTCTAAAAAGATGGTAATACAAATTATGACAAAAATGGTTTAGATATAGAACTTTGGACTAAGATAGGGTAGATAATGGAGTATTTTCTGTAAATTTGCCAAATGCAAATGGATTGGGTATTGTAAATGTAATTCTTACCTGATAATTGTTCCTATTGTTTATAGTTTTATTATGTTAGAGTTAAAATCTTTCCTTTTTGTTTAGACAAAAAGGGGGAAATGTTGTGGAATATTCCTTTATGCTGTGTGAAGATGTGTCTCTGTGATTGGCTTAATAAAAAGCTGAATGGCCATTAAGTAGGCAGGAAGAGGTTAGGCGGGACTTCTAGGGACAGATAGTTCTTGGAAGAAGGAAGGGAAAGTCACCAGCCAGATGGAGAGGAAGCAGGCTCTTATTAAAGACATTGATATGAAGTGCAAGCTGGAGAGATGGACCCTCAGTTAAGGGCTAAGGTTCACAACCAAAAGGATTCAGTTCTCAGCACCCAAGTTTGCCCCTCTGGCTTCTTCTTTGCCAAGCATAATAATAGATATGAAATAAACAAACTGATAAATGAATCAGCAATTAATATCTAATCACATGTATGTAATTATCTCCGTTACTATATACTATAACTGTGTATTTAAAGATGGGAGTGGAGGCATACTTGTTAGATCAGGATAGAAGCAGGATAATGAAGGACACCAGTTCTCTGTGGGAGTGGAGACCATGTACCCAGGCCCTTCTGGAGAGAAAAGTTTTATCATAATATATGTTCTTCACTGTCAAGGCTGAGTGATGCCAGCAGGTATTCTATGACTATTTTTTTCTTGTCAGGCAGGCTCTCTGTCTCTCTGTCTCTCTCTGTCTCTCTCTGTCTCTCTGTCTCTCTCTCTCTCTCCCTCCCTTCCTTCTTTCTTTCCCTTCTTTTTAAGAAATTTGTTTATGTTATATCCTGACCACAGTT